TCAAGGAGGCTCTGTGCTGTCAGCGCGGGGCCAGATGCGGGGCTCGATCTCATGAACCGTGAGATCATGACCTGAGCTGAAATCGAGAGACGGACGCTTAATCGACTGAGCCACCCAGGTGCCCCCAAGACCTACAACCTCTTGAAGACATCTTTGTATGCTCTAGTCCATTCCATGCTGTAGGTACTCAATAGGTATCTAGTCAATGATTTGATAATTAGCCTGGACAAGAGGTAGATGTGTCCACTAGCTTCATTTGTCTGGAGGGTTGTGATCACAAGGAAGACCTACGTTTGCTTTATGAGACCCTAAGGGAAGAACAAGAATACCAACTGGAAGCCTCATGGAAATATATTTCAGCTCAGTATTAAGAAGAGCTTTGCTGGGGCGCCTGGGTGGCTCAGTCGGGTGAGCGTCCGACTTCAGCTCAGGTCACGATCTCACAGTCCGTGGGTTCGAGCCCCGCATCGGGCTCTGGGCTGATGGCTCAGAGCCTGGAGCACACTTCCGATTCTGTGTCTCCCTCTCTCTCTGCCCCTCCCCCATTCATGCTCTGTTTCTCTCTGTCTCAAAAATAAATAAACGTTAAAAAAAAAAAAAAAAAAAAAGAAGAGCTTTGCCGCCCAACAGGACTACACAAAATAAACAGGGAGCCTCGAGCAGTAGAGAGCTTTCTGTCACCAGAGCTGTTTTATTGACAAATTCTGGCACACATTTGGTAGGAATCTTGAGGCAAGGATTCGGGCATGTAGTGGGTGAATGGCCTGAATAACTACCTTATGCTCCATGATTCATCCATTCATTTATTCAACTAGTATTTACTGACCAGGGATTGCACCAGGAACCCAATGAATCCACACAGAACAAACACACCCATGTAACCACCGTGCAGAGCGGCGGCCTATGCGAGCCGATGAACAAGGCAGATTTGGCCTCCGACCCGGGGGCGAAGAAATAGACGTAATTGAATGAACTATTGGGTGTCAAAAGGGAGTGTGAGGGGACAACTTGGGGTGGGAGTCAGAGAGACACTTAGCTTGCAAAAGGATGAATATAGGAAGCTTGTGTGGTTCCATGACCTTAGATGTCTCTAGAGGGCTCAGGCTTCTTTTCTCTTCTGTGATGCCTGCTCTTCCAGTTGGGTGACCTTCCTGAGCGCTGGCTTAGGCCAGTCTATACCTGTCAGCTCCGGAGCTGTGAGTCCTGCTCAGCTGACAGGTAACCAGGTAACTTTGATCATCCCAGGGGAACCATGTGTGGTCTTTAGTTACACCCCTTCTCTCCTCCCCTCTTCTCTAAAAGACCACCAGAAGGCTAGTCACACGGACTTGGAGACAACAGCGGCACAGGCAATGCCATGGCGGGTGCACCCCAAGAGCCTGGCCGACTCTCCGTTTTCAGGGCAGCCATCAAAGCACCCAGTGGGGGGGCGCCTGGGTGGCGCAGTCGGTTGGGCGTCCGACTTCAGCCAGGTCACGATCTCGCGGTCCATGAGTTCGAGCCCCGCGTCAGGCTCTGGGCTGACGGCTCAGAGCCTGGAGCCTGTTTCCGATTCTGTGTCTCCCTCTCTCTCTGCCCCTCCCCCGTTCATGCTCTGTCTCTCTCTGTCCCCAAAATAAATAAAAACGTTAAAAAAAAAAAAAAAAAAAAGCACCCAGTGGGACTGGCCACAATCCAGAGCTCCACATACAAAACAGAAAAGACACAGCAGGTGAGCCAAGAGGCATGTGACCCCGGGACTTTCTCCCGCACTGATGGGGGACAGCACTAGGGTAACACAGCAGCTATTCATGAAATGTTCACATGATTTGGGTAAACAATAATCTAAAAAAAATACCATGCCCCAAGTCTTCACTATGGGCCAGGCGCTGTGCTGAGTGATTATAGATGCATTATCTTATTTAGGGATTGAACGGCCCCATAAGGGGCAGAATTATTATGTTTACATTACAGAAGAGGAACCTGAGGTCTAGAGGTTGTCAAAACTTATCTGAGATCACATAGCCAGGAGATGGCAGGCCCAAGGGTCTCTGGAGCCTGTGTTTGTGGCCTCTGTTCTGTGGACCTTACGTGGCGATAAATGAAAGCCCAACAAGGCAGAAAGGGTCAAAATGAGCTCTCCTGTTTGAACTCCAGAAGTCAGTGAGTAAGCCCTCAGCAGGACGGGGATCCAAAACTGAGTTCAAGGCCTGGGCAACGTCAAAAGAAAAATAACGAACCAGAAAAAAAATGTTTTCTTACTTATGTTACAAAGGGATAACTTCTAATATATAAATGCATATATTCATATAGGGACTAACAAACAGAAGAAACAGAAATCACACAAAAAAAGTATCCAAATAGCATTTAGGCATAGGAAAAGATGCCCAATCTGACCAGAGAAAATGCAAATTAAAGCCGAACTAAGGCAGCATTCATCTCCTGCAAACTTGAAAAATGTGTGGGATGCAGCTATTGTGGCCTTAAATGTAGCATGGATTTGAAAAGAAGGAAACCGAAAGTCAATGACGTAAGTATCCCTATCAAGAAATTATAAAAGGAACACAAGGCCCAAAGAAAGGAACACAAGGCCCAAAGAAACTCCCTAAAAAATGGAGTTTTTTAAGGAAAAAAAAAAACTCACAAAAATAATAACCCTTGGCCGGATGAATCAAGGAAAAACAAAAGAGAAAGAAAGAGAGAATGAACAAATCCGGTCCAATATCAGGAATGAAAAAGCAGGCCTCACCATACCCCCTGGAGACAATGCAAAGGTACGGCCTATGCTCCAAACTTGAAAATTTCTGGAGAAATTCCTCACAAAACACAATGGAAGCCAACACCAAAATGACAGAGATGTTAGAATGATCCGATGAAGATTTTATAGCAGCCATGATAAAAAATATTGTTTCAGTGGGCACTTAGAAACACATTTGCAATAAAGTCGGGTGGGGATAGAAAGCTGTAGCAAAGAAATAGAAGCTATAAAGAACAAAGTGGCAATTTCAGAAATCGTATAAACATCTGTAACACCTGTCACAAAAGACTTCTCTGATCATTAATGTCCTCATCTACGGGGCTAACTGAGATAACCCATCTGAAAGGATGAGCACAGGCCCTGGCACATAGCAAGTGCTCTATAAAAGGTTATATTGCTCCTCTTATAACTGAGGCATCCAGGCAGGAGGGCTAAACTTCAAAGCATTTCCAGGCAGACAGACCTTCCTGTGTGGGATGCTCTAAAAAGAAGCGACTAGAAGCAAGTTTGGTAACAACCTTACCGAACAGTGTATTCCCTGAGGTATTCCCTCCACAGCAGGCAGCTGCAATCTGCCTGCAGGCCTGGGGTTTGGTCCTGAAGAATACAATGGAAGGGGTGGAAGGGGAAGGGGGGCTTTAGATCCCCCAAGTGAGCTGGAAGCAGCAGGGAGGGGCTGGGCAGGAGGGAAGAAAGCTTTGTCTTTTTTTCAAACACAGTATTGTTTATCGCAATAGTAGCCAGGATTCCCAGGAGGGTGGAAGAGGGGGCTTGCAGAATGGTTTCAAAGGGGTCCCCTCATTCCTGCAGAGACAGGTCCCGGAAAAGCCATACTTACAAGGAGACCATCATGACCTGTACGGATGGAGAAGCACTGGGGGCAAGGAACAGATCAGGGACTACCCCACCAGTGGTCAGCACCCTCAGCTGGGAGGGGCAGAACTTTTGAAAGAGTCGGGTCTGTCTCTAGCTTTCCTCCTTCCTTTTTTTCCTTGGAAGAAGACGACACAGCATCAGGTACTTTCCCTTAGTTTACAGAACCTGTTTGCCCCTGCCACAGTGTCTGATCTCCTCACACCCGTAGAGACTGAGGGATAGCCTCGTCTCATTTTACAGACGTCCAAGTTGAGCCTCAGAGCAATCAAGTGAATTACCCAAGGTAGTCCTCAGACTAAGGACCCATCCCACCTATATACTATCCCTAGGGGTGCCCGGGTGGCTCAGTCAGTTAAACATCTGCCTCTGGCTCAGGTCACGATCTCACAGTTCGTGAGTTCGGGCCCCGCATCGGGCTCTCTGCTGTCTGTGCGGAGCCCGCTTCAGATCCTCTGACCCCCTCTCTCTGCCCCTGCCCCACTCACACACGTGTGTTTTTTGTCTCCCTCAAAAAAAATTCCTATCTCCATCAAGACATAATGAGTATTATTTCTACCATTTTAGAGCACCTCTTGTGTGCCAGGCATAAGCCTCGATGCATTGCTTCCCTAATCGCGGGAACCGGGGAGGCCACCCCGCCTTACAGGCAAGGAGGTAGGAGTTCTTACTTAGTGCCTAACACTGTCGGAAACACTTCCGTATGCATTGAGTCACTCAGTCTTCCCGACAATCCCATGAGAGTGAGTGGAAGTAGCATCTCCATTTCAGAGATATGGGAAATCGCGGGTCAGAGACATCAGGTAATCTGTCTGAGGCCACACAGCTGAGAAAGAGCACAACCGGTATTCGAACCGAGCCTTCTTACCACGGTTCTGTGTCCCCGGCAGCACAGGCGACTGTGGTGGGACATCACACAGATGTGGGACATCTGACATCACACAGAAGTGGGACATCTGACAGAATCAGTCAAAACCCCAGCCCAACTGAAGACCAGTCTTTCCACCCAGCTATCCTGCCTAGAGCGGGGCTGGAGGGATGCTCTGGGTCACTTGGGCAGCCTCCTTCCCTCCGGCTAAGAGACAGCTGGTTGCCGGTCAATCCCCAGAAACGGCCCGGCACGTGTGGAGGCCGAGCCCGCTATGGTGGCATCAGACCGGGTCGGGCTGGCAGAGCAGGGCCCCAGCTCCATCAACCTTCTCTGCTGCTTGCTGGCTGAAAGCAACCCCAGACTCTCATCGTCTCCCTGGGCCCCCACTGAAAACACAGTGCCAGGAGGAAAGGGAACTTGGAGGGGTAAGAGGAGCCGGGGTGGTGAGGAGAGGGGCGCTGGGGAGCTTGGTTCTGGAGTTGTGGGGAAGGGGTAACCTAGCAACCACTGGCTCACGTAGTCACAAAGCCCGACAGGCTTGCCCGCAGAATCAGCCGAGCTTCCCTGTTGATGTGCCCTCTTGCTCCTTTCTGCTCGGGCACCAGGGACTTCTCACCCACATGCTGTAGCAGACACTTACCTCGGTGAGTCCACGGATCTCTCCAGGGGAGGAAGTGGACGCCAGAGCCAGACGGGGGCCCAGGCGGAGCTGAGACAGGAAAGGGATGTTCGGTCTCAGGCTTGGTGTGAGCATTCAGACCCCTTGGACTCAGCTGGTTGGGGCCCCAGGCAGAGAGGAAAGCGAGGGCAGAGGCAGACACAGTGGGGCCCGTCCCATCCCGCTCTGGAAAAGCAGGCCTGGCCTGCTCGAGTCCCTGGTGACCTTTCCACAGCAGCTGTGGGTTGTGACCCACCAGTGGCTTATAAAATCAATTTAATGGGTCACAGCTAACATTTACAAAATAAAAACAAAAAGTGAGATGAAAATATCACTGTGCATCGGATGTAGCAAGGGTAAGTGTTGCTTCGGGATGTTCCTGCTTCAATTTCACATACACAAAAGCGTGTGCACACGCGCATGTGAATCAGGTCACAATGTAACAATGAGTTTCTTACGATGAGCGCAGCCAAGAGCGTTCGAAAGTCCCCGTTCTAACAAATACTTTCTCCTGTAGGCAGATGGGTTTGGGGCTTCCAAATGGCCTGTTCTCAAACCTGCAGCATGTAAGTGCTCTAGATCGCAGAACCATCATCGAGAACATCCACAGCTTCCCTCCAAGGAAGTTCTGCCAACTGTTTTTCTCCTTAAAGGCGTCAAGTCAGGATGTTTGGGTCCTTGCTCTGGGACCTCAAGTCTCTCCTTCCCCAGTCTCAGGCAGCGCTGCCCCCCGCCCAGTTCCACCCTAGCCTGATAAGCGTTTGGCCCTGGGGATTTCTGGAGTCCCTTGCAGATCTTGTGACCGAGAGTTAATTTTCAGAATGCACTGACTTCCTGTCCCAGCCCCCTTCCTAGCACCCGCAATCCCTGCACTTTGGGGACAGATAAATAGATACATCTATGTAAACGTAAATGTAAGTGTGTATGCATTGCTGTATAGCTATATTCAGATCTGTAGATTTTTAGACTGATCACAATTCCTCAACAACTATCATCCTTCATCCACTCCACTGATTTAGTTTATTTCATATTATAATGGGCACCAGCAAATGCGCCTCTCAAACCAAGAAGGAGAATATCATCATCAACACACCTTATGTACTCCCTCCCCATTTCAACACCCCCCCCCCAACTTCCCTCGGAAATAGCCACTAGCTGAATCACCGCAGTCAGCATTTTCTTGCCTTTTTCCCCTCATTTGATCACATGTGTGAGACTTTTGCTTGCCTTTATACTTTATTTTGAAAAAGGATCTCGGGCCGCAAGGTTTTCTGGGACTTGCCTGCCTTGACTTTGCAATTGTATTTGTGAGATTCACCCATGTCATTCCGTGTGGCTGTGGTTCGTTTTCACTGCAAGGTGATGTTCAGCTGACCACACAGAGAGCACAGCTCCATTCTTCCGCCACGGGACGTTTGGTGTTTGCCAATTTGAACAATGTTAGTCTGAACAGTCTCACAAATGGCCCCGGTTGCCCTTCTCTTGGCTGAATGTCTAGGAAGGGAATTGCTGAGCGGTACGGCATACGCAAGTATTCGGTTTTATGAGATGCTGTCCATTTCTCTCCGCCAAGGGTCTGCGCCGGTTTACAACTCCAGGAACCGCCAGTCTGTGAGAGTTCCTGTTATCCAACTTCAACGCTAGGGTTAAGTGCGCCGGCCTTTATCCATTAGAAAGCCTACGATGGCTACAGAGGCGAAGACCCCGTTGGCTGAACATCCACTGATGAGGTAGGACCCCAAGCGCCTGCCCTGCTGACCAAACGGGTGGGGGGTCAGGCCTGAGTTAGCACAGGTCCCAGACTGGGTCCCTCCCTGGGGAGGGAAAGGACACGGTGGCAGGGGGTAGAGGCACCGAGTGCAAGAATTCCTGGGGTTTTTAAGGGGTGACTCCCTCTGTCAGTTGGGGTAGGAGAGACCAAGTAACTGCACCTTTCAGAGAAGGTTTGCTTTATTTCTTTAAGTCCCAGATCCCTTAGAGGCCGATGGAGAACGGCACCGAAAACTCAGGGGCCTGGTCAGCAAAATCCTCAGAGGGTCCCGGGGCAGAGCATCTTGCTTAGCATATCCAGAGTCCGTCTCTTCTCCAGAGGGACTCCCTTCAGCCAGGGCCACCAGGAGAAGGGACTGCAGACAGCGAGAAGGCAGGTGGTCTCACCAGGCCCCAGGCGGAGAGCAACCCCCCTTTGGATCCTTGCTGGACTGACCTCGAGCTCCTCCTCCGGAGGCAGGGCCCAGCATCGTCAGGAGAGGGAAGGGGTGCAGGGTGGAGGACAGACAACCTGAGAAGCTTGTCTCCAGCGAAGCCAAGCAAGAGCTTGACGCTTCCCCGAAGCGTCGCAACTCTGATAGCTGCCCCGTCAGCTCGGCATCTCCTGGGAGCGGCCCCCACCGCAAAGGACTTGCTGACGTGGTCTGGCCTTGTTGTTCCAGCTTTGGCCCTTGGACGCTGAGTCTGGGCCAAGTCTGCCCGGAGGGTACACGGACGGGGTGGGCGTTGCCTATAGCTTGGGGAGAGGCTCTCTGTCTGCCCCCTGCCCCTGGAGGTGTATATGATGCACCTTTGCTCCAACCCACGTATTTGGATGAGTAGGTGGGTCTATGTCCTTTTTCCGGCTTTAGAGATGGTTTCCGGGAGAAAACGGAGATCTTGGGAGATTCATCTGAGTTTTCTCAAGTAGATCCTAGCTCCCTGTGAAAGCACCTTAGGAAGACAGAAGGCTCCCTGGGACTGGATGGCGCCAGTTGGGAAAGGACCCCGGGGGAGGCCTGGCTTTGGGTGCCATGGGGGTGGAAGTGAAATCCTGGAAAGCGACTTCAGCGTGTCTCGGGACTAGACTCCATATAAGCACTGAGCTCTGAGCTTGGGTGGGCACTGCAGCCAGGAGGCTCCATTAGCTTCTCCTTGACCTTCTCCTTCAGTCCAAGGGCTCAGCTGAAGCCTGAAAAGAAGTTAGGGCACAGCCCAAGGAGCCACGGGCACGGCGGACCACGGAAAGAACTGATGATCCCAGGGATCGTGGATTTCCAGCTGATCCAAGCGGCGCTGAGGACCCCCAAGCCCCAAAGCCCGGGGGCCTACCGCTTTGGCCGCCTCAGCCACCACTCCTTCTTCTCCCGGCACCACCCCCACCCACAACACGTGACCCACATCCAAGGTAGGCCTGGGGGAGGTCAGGGCCTGGCTGAAGGTGGCGGGCCAGTCTTGAGAACCGGAAAGGGAGGACGCAGCCCCTGTTTCGGAGCTGAGGCCCAGAGAGGATGGGGATTTGGGTCACAGAGCTGCCTGGCCACTGGCAAGCACTTGGTCGAGGGAAGCCTGGACTTGTGGGGCAGACTTCAAGGGCAGACTGTGGAGCCCTACAGGATTTCCCTCATTGCCGATTCTGCCATTTTAAAAATCAGAGAAACGGATGAATGTTCGGCCCCGGAACTGTACTCTGTTCTCTAACGCAGGCCAATTCATCCACTTAGCCATCCATTCATCAGGTATCTTATTCAGTGGGAACTCTGGGTCGGGCGCTTTTTTTAGGCCCCGGGGATACAGCAGGATGAGACAGTCCCTGCCGTCATGGAGCTGACTCTGACGGGGAAGGATAGGGAATAGATAGGCGTCAGAGTGTGGTAAGTGCCAAGGCTCTAGAGGGGAGGAGACCTGATTAATAGCACGGGATTTGAGCAAAGAACTAAAGCAGAGAGGGCGTGAACCATGTGGATATTGGGGGAAGAACGTCCCAGCTGGGAACAGCAAGTTCAAAGGCCCTGAGGAAGGTATCCTGGTTCTGCTGGAGGAACAGCAAGGAAGCCAGAAAGGAGGTGGGGGGGGGGGGTGGTCCAGATTGTGTGGGCCTTAGAGGTCACCTCAGTTACCATTAAACCATCTCACTGAGTCAGTGGGAGCCACTGGAAGGTTGAAGACAAAGAAGTGACAGGAGTGACTCTCTCGGCCTGCCTGATGGTGGTGTAGACCAAGGAGGTAGCAGCGGAAGAGTTAGTGGCCCTGCTCTAGAGATAATCAGAGGTAAGGCCCAGGCCCTCCTTCCCACAGCCTCTAACCCTTCACAGATTTCACCGGGAAGCCCGTCTGTGTCGTCAGAGACAAGTTCTCTCTGGCCCCCTTGCCTCAAGCCACACTCTTATCCCGCTGTCTGATGGCGATGCCCACCATCCCTGTCCCCATCGGAGACCCGCGGTCCAATCGGGACCCCTGGCTTCCTTACGGTGGGTACTTTGGCAGGTGCCTGGGAAGGAAAGGACCAATGCTCTTAGGTCAGTGGGGTTCCGTGGGGCACCCTAGAGTTTTCCACATTTCCTCAGACAGCAGAATCTGCGTTTTTCCCCACTGCCCAGGTCCTGAGAAATGTGGCCCCTACTCAGATTTGAGGTGTTTGAGGCGTTATCACAGAGGACGGGCAGATAGTCACGTGATTGACAGCTACAGGCAGGAATGGTATTGGAAATATTGAGCAGCTTGTATGTTCAGGGACCAGTCAGTGAGAGCCATCCAAACGGAGACGGGGCTGGAGCAAAAGCTTTCCGGAGGCCCCTGCCCTGCCCTGCCCAGTCTGACCCTTCTGGAAGGGCCAAGGGAAAGCCCGCCGGCGGGGGTGGGGGTGGGGAGAGCCCCCAAGGAGGAGGAACCAGGACAGCCCTGCAGCACAGAGAGGCTTGGGAAGCTTCGCCAGGAACAGTCCAGTATCTGAGTGACTGGCACAGCACAGCAACTGAGCCAACCTCGGTGCCAGCCTCCGGCTCCTAAAAGAGGCAAAGCTAGATTAAACCACAGGCATCTCGGCCCCTGTAGCCAAGCATCTCCAGCACCTCCCTGGTGAAGCCACAGGCTGGGATATGAACTTCAGCCCCCTCCGGGAGCGACCGCACTCACCTGCCAAGGGGGGGGGGGGGGCATTGCCACTCCTTCCCTCAAGGGCACCGCCTCCCCCTCTCCCTGTAGGACACAGGGCAGAAGGCTGGGGAGGTGAGCAGGCTCTTCCCACCCCCCACAGCCCTCCCAGTGCCGGGTGCCGCAGGGAGGGCAAAGAAAAGGACCCCGGGTATCAGCTGGCAACGTCTTGTCCCCTCGTCCCAGAGGCCTGGAAGAGGGAACTGAAGAACCTGGCTTCTCGGGTGGCCGTCTTCACCGAAAACGAGCTGCAGAGCAAAGAGGTGGGTGCGGAACACGGGAGCTGTCGGGGAAGGGGTGCGGCGGGGCCGTCCCTTGGAATCCCTCCTGAGTGGATTCCACCTAACGGGGTGCAGAGACAGCGCTCACGAGGGGCGCTCTGTTGGCCCGGGAGGAGGGGCGGCGCGGCACCAGCGGGAGGGGGGGGGGGGCCATCGTGGCTAGGTGGAGAAGTCCAAGAAGGGTTCCTAACAGCGGTGGGATGTTTAGAACCCGACAGGGGAGGCATTCCTCGTGGGGGCAGGCGGCTCAAACGCTCAGAAGCTGGGAAATGCAGGACATCTTTAGAGACCGGGGCTGAGGTCCAGGGAATTGAAGTGGGCAGCCATCGGGGTGGGGAGGGTGGGAAGGGGCCGACTTTGAACGTGGGCCAGAAGAGACGTTTGTTCTTAGTTTCTCAACTTAGTGGAGTGTCAGATCTCCTAAGGAGCGGAGGACCACCGAAGGATTTCAAACAGGATGGGGTGGCCTCACGGGTGCTATTTGCTGGTAAGCCAGTAAAGGCAATTGGGAGGCAGCTTGAAGGTAGTTGGAATTGGACTTAGGACAGGCCTGGCCCTTGGGGACAGAGTCTGGTCCTGCCCTTGTCTTTTTTTTTTTTTTTTAATGTTTATTTCTTTATTTTGAGAGAGAGAGAGAGAGCACAACAGCGGGGCAGGGGCAGAGAGACAGAGGGAGGAATAGAATCCCAAGCAGGCTCCATACCACCAGCGCAGAGCCTAACATGGGGCACAGTCTCACGAACCATGAGATCATGACCTGAGCTGAAAGCAACCGACTGAGTCACCCAGGCACCCCCTGCCCTTGTCTTGGGCAGCAGAGTTCTCATCCCCGCTTTGCAGCTAACTCACTGCAATGCTCACTGCCACTCAGCTAAACTGTCTGGGTCTCACTTTTCCTACCTTTAAAATGGGAAGAAAGATACTACCAGTCTCAACTGGGGTTGCAGGGGTAGGAGGTCCCAGGCCTTGTACCCACAGGCCTGGCTCAGAAGGGTTTTCCCAGGGCAAAGAAAGGATGCCAAGCTCTGGGGGAAAGACCTGGGGGCAGCTGAGCTAGGAATTAAGGTAGGCAACGGGGGCCTTGGCCCAGGATACTGCTTTCAAATCTCTGATGGGCTTGGGGGGGTTGGGCAGGGAGGGTCTACCCAGGAGGAAGTATGAGGACTTTAGAGGACCACCAGGGGCTCCAGCATTCAAGAAATTCCAGGAAGAAGAACTTTGGCTTTAACTGATGGGCTCCCGGCTGGGGAGAGGGGTCCAGAACAGGGTGGGGCTGGCCCAGTCATCCTCCCAGGTCCTTGCAACGCTGTGATGCTGGGATTCGAGGAGGTGATGGTGCCCTGGAGGTGTGACTGGGCCTCCTTCTCTTCTGCTCTGGCTTCTTCCTTGAGCCTCTCTGTCTCTCTCTCTCTGTCTCTCACTGCCTGGAGTCTCTTGCTACTTTGCTCCCAGCAGAAGGAGGAGCCTCCGCGGGAGCAGGGAGCAAAATACTCAGCTGAGACCGGCAGGCTCATCCCCAGTGGCACCAGAGCCACTGGCCACCGTCACTCCCGCCAGGACCCACGGATTTATCCCTCTGGTAAAGATGGAGGAGTCCAGACCTTCAAGCTGCCGGATCAGGAGCTGCTGGTGAGGCCCTGGGAAGGCTGGGGGCCACAGGCCCAACCGAGGCCTCGTCTTGAGGGCTGAGAACGTGGTGGTTGCTGCTCCCAGGCTCACAGTAATCCCAATGAGGTGCTTACAAACTGCTTTCGAGTGCGGCCTCTCCCAGGGACGCTTGTACCCGAGGCTGTGAGACCTGGGAGTCAGGAGCCTGGATCCAATCCCCTGCCGCCTCCAGGTTTCTGTGTGAGCCTTCCCCACCCCCCCTCTTTGAAGGCCTTTCCCCTCGGGGCTTTAGTGCCAGGATCTACCCAAGCTGGGAGCAGGAACATGTCTCGAGGGGCTGCTCCAGCCTTGGCACTGGATGAGTTCAGGGAGGGAGTGACACGCGTGGAGAGCAGGGTCCTGCCGGCCGTGTCCCCAGCCCACGCCCTGGTGTGCTGCAGCCTGCAGGCTGCAAGGCCAGTCCCAGCCCGGTCCCCGCACACTCTGGGGGGTTTGGTCTGTACCACATGAAGCAGAAACCCACCTCCTCCGCGTGCAAGTTTCCCATCGAGGCCTGGCAGGAGTCCGTGACTGATTCCGCTGGCTGAGGCGACTTGAGGGTCCCCTGTGACAACGCATACGTATTCTCCAGGAAAGGTTAGACACCGAGCCAGCATCTCAACACCCTCCCTGTGATCAGCACTTCCGAGCACACGGTCCCTTTGGAGACTTACAACAGTCCCATGAAGTGGATAGAGCAGACAGGGCCCAGGATCCCCGTTCCACGGATAGGGAGGCTAAGGCCCTGCCAGGTGACATTCTGTGGCCCAGGTCCCCAGAGAGGGAGCAGCATAGCTGGGACTAGAGCAGTACTTTCTCCACCATAGGGCGGCCTCATCTTGCCTGGAATTAGGTTCTCAGGTCCTGTGGGGAGGGGGCACAGGGCAGGTAAGTTGGATGCGGAGAACGGAGAAGGGCCCAGGGGCACGCCCAGGGTGGGGGTCACGACAGCAGGCGGGTATCTGGGGATAAGGGGGCACCCTAGCAGGCATAGGCCTGGGAAGAGCCTTGGCCTAGTTCCCACTCTGCCAAGAATGAGGCCGACCTGCTGGGGACTGACGGGGCCCCTTCAGGTCATGGGAAGACTGACCGCCAAGCACTAAGGGGACCCCACTTTCCCAGGACTGCAGGGGCTCCACCTCCCACCGCAGGCCCCAACTCCGGCCGACCATAGGCACAGTCGCCCCCTTAGCCCATCTGACACAGAGCTGGATCTTCCCCCGATGACCCGTGACTGGAGAACACGGGGGAAAGAGGGCCCCGAAGTGGCAAAGGTGCCAGAGGCTGAGGAACCGGCTGGCAGCGAAGCGTGCACGCTGCTCGGCGGGATGGAGCCCCACGCTGGGCGATCTGCGGCATCAGCCAGCCCTGGCCCTCAGCCCGCCCATTGGGATCACCCCACCTCTTTGCTGGCATCTCCAGACCCTGGGAACTCCAGGGCGGGGAGGCCTCTGTGGTCCCTGAAACCCCCACACCAAGGATTCGGTGCGTCTCCGAGGAGCTGACTGGCCAGCTCTGCCTTTGCCTCCCCAGTGAGGGACTTTGGGGTAAAATCAGCCCACGCAGGCTTCACAAATGAGGGGCCCACGTACCTGATTCAGAGGCTGCGTTCTGCCACACTCTCCCTGCTAGGTGTCCTTTCAAGGCCTCAGATTCCTCATCTGGCCAGTGAGGAGGTTAGGAATGTCCCTCCAGGACTGGCGGGAGAGAAAGCACTCCATAAAGTGTGAAGTCACAAGGAAGGGGACCATTGGGGGGGGGGGGGGGCAGGATCCATCGCGGGGACCATTTTAGCCAAGCGTGTGGCTGTGGGAACAGGAGGGGGGTCTGTGCTGTTGGCTGGCACGTGCCATCCGGGCACCCTGACCCAAGGCCTGTCCTCCTGCCCACAGATCCTGGAGCTCCTCTGCCAAATCCTGCAGACAGACTCCTTGAGCGCTATCCAGTTCTGGCTACTATACGCTCCCCCGAAGGGTGAGGACGCAGCCCGTGCCCACGTCTTTCTCGAAGTGGAGGGCCTTGTTCTCTGCTTCTGCAGGACTTGGGTGTCATTCGGCTCCCGCCCAGGGCCTTCCGCCTGGGCCCCCTCTCCTTTTCTGGAGCCCCAAACTAACCTTTCCCAGCTGCACCACGCCCCTGCACCCTCCTCCTCCGTCCTAGCGGGATTGCCCCGACCCTGCTTCTCGGAGGCGCCTCTGCGCTGACCACTGGCCATGGCACCTGGGAGGGAGGGGTCCAAAGGTGTACTCAGCAGACACACCCCCTCGCCCACCGCCGTGGGGCCCACGACGCACACACAGACGCAACACGTGCACATAAGCACACAGGCGCATGCTCGCGAACACGGGAATGACGTGCGCGCGCTCACACTGGGACACGGGCCGGAAGGTGTATCCGAGCAGAGGCCGAGCAGAGAGAGAGGGGGGAGGCGGGGCGGGGGAGGGGCAGAAGGCAGAAGGCAGGGGAGGAGGCAGGACCGGTGGGCTGGTGGGTGGGCTGGTGGGCGGGCCAGAGGGGGCCAAGAACAAGGTGTACACAAATGAGAGAGTAGTGACAGAAGGGGGGGGGGGGGGGGGCCGCGTGCCCTCAGGGGCCACGACAGAAGAGGGAGCTGGAGGCAGAAAGCTGCCTGGGCCAGGCTGGGCAGGAGAGCTGGAGGCCCCTCTTCCAGCCCGTCCCTTGTGGGGACAGGACAGGGTGGGTGTAGCCACTGAGGACTGCGCCCCCTGGCTGTGCTTGCAGAGAAAGATTTGGCCCTGGGGCTCCTGCAGACAGCGGTGGCGCAGCTCCTTCCTCAGCCCCTAGACTCCATCCCAGTAGAAAAACTTCTGGATCAGCTCCAGGAAGGCCAAGAGCCATCTCAAGAGAGGAAACAGCCACCCTGCAGGTGAGCTTTGGACCCCTCCCCGCAGTTCCCAGAACCGTTCCCTCGCATTCAGCCTCCTGTCCTCCCAGGTGAGGCCAAGGGTGGTCCAGAAAAGGCATCCTGGCGCTGGCCACCGCCTGGGCTGCCGGAGCCGATGCTGGGGGAGTGGGAGCGGGAGCGGGCCCTGGCCCTTGCTCAGGGACCCTCCAGTCCAGCCGGTGCTGCATGAAGGCCCCTCTGCCAGACCGGACCTTGGCGGCTGGCTGTGGGGGGTGCCCAAGGCATGACCTGTGTCGGCTATAAACAAGGCAGGGCTGGAGAAGCTGCATCTACCCCTCCAGATGCTCTTGGTCTTTGAGAAGACAAATAGAGGAGGAAAGCTAACACAGGCAAGCAGAAATACCTTAATGCCGGGGTTAAGCACCTCGGATGGCTGGAGGAGACCGGGAAAGGGAAGCCCTCACGAAGCAGATGAGGAGGGCCTGGGCGTCAGCAACGGAACTAGCAATAGAGGGTGCCCACCGTGCCTGCCTGGCACGTCCAGACAGACAGTTTACACGTTTGTGGTCCATACAACCACCTGCATTTTACAGATGAGAGACCTAAGGCTCCGGAACAGTTGATTCGACCTTGGGCTGGTCTAGCTTCTGAGCCCAGCCGCACGCAGATTTGCCGGAGACCTTGTTAAAATACGAATACCTAGGGATTCCAACACAGCAGGTCAGGGATGAACGGGGGGATGTGTGATTTTGACAATCTCCGGAGCTTTTCTGATAGAGCTTGGGGAACACTACGGGGGTAGGGAGGATTTGCAGGAGCAGATGAGAGCGTGGGGGCAGTCAGGAAGGGAAGGCAGGAACGTGCTTGCTCCAGGGGACACGTGTGGGGTGGCTGCAGCATGGGCAGGGGGGCAGGAGGCAGGTGTTTGTGCTCATTAACCAGAAGGCCTGGGTTCTTGCTCTGGCCCGGAACGGGGTGCTCTTTTCCACTTTGAGAGACCAGGGGAGGCACAGAAGGAAGGCAGGCTTCACTATGACCTGGGGCAAGCCACCGCCCATCTGGTGGCTTCCATTTCACGTCTCAAAACCCCTCTCCCAGACCCCTAGGGAAGAAAGTTACACTGGGCGCGTAAAAAGGTTTGCTTTGGTGCAAAGCTGAAGTCCTCTCTCAGGGCAGCAGAAATTCTGTTTTCTCCACTCACGGGGGAAGGCTTCCTCTCTGCGAGGAAGCAGGGACCAAGCGAGGGCTGGGGTGGGCTGGTGCGGGGGCCTCCCTTACCGCTCCTGGGGCAGAAGGGCCTTGGCTCCTTGGGGCCACAGCAGGCAATGGAGTCGCAGTTGTCTGTCGGGGTCCCACTTGGGTGGTGCCAGCCAGGGACAGATACTTTGGGGCTCTCCAGGAGGGGTGGCTCTTGCGTCTCCCCGGAGCACTTCCCTGCCTCGACTCTGCAGCAGAGGGCTCAGGCCTCGCCTTCCCAGATTTGTCTTTGTGCCGGTTATAGCCAATCCTTGAAGAAGACGAAGACACCGCCTCTACCCAAAGGCGACAAACCGGGTAAGATTCCACGCAGCGGATCATCCTGGGGGCTCCCCGAGGCCCACCCTGGCTGTACTCCTCGGGTGGCGGGGGGGGGGAGGTCAGGGACCCCAGAGATGAGTCCCTGTCCCAGGGAAGCTGCCCATTCCATCCATTCATCTATTCACTCATTCATTTGAGAGAGGCTTGCTTAGCGGCTGTGAGCGGGGCTCTGGGGAAGATTCCAGACAAGTTCCTGCTGCTATAGAGCTTCTAGCCCCGTGAGGAGGAGTGCAGACAACAAATAAAAACACCTGAGGGGACAGGTGCCAGAGGAAAATAAAGCAGGGTAAAATGAGGGACAGTAAGAAGGACTGGCAGGGTCAGGGGAGGGCTCCTTGGGCTAAACGACAGGCAGGATCCAGCCCTGTCCAGGTCTGGGGAGAGCCCAGAAGTAGGGCCCTCACCTGCCCGGTGTGTGCAGGAGAGCACGAGCAGGCATAAGCAGGACAGGGTAGCCAGGGCCTTGTGGGGCAGGACAGTAGTAAGAAAGGAAATGGGCCAGGTGGGCAGGGCCGGTCCATGGTCTCATGCAGAGGGCATAGGCGTGCACTGGAGGGTTAGATGCAGGGCATGGGGGACCCCTCTGTCTGCTGAGTAGAAAATGGACTGTTGGGGGCAGGCGGGGATGAGGGGAGACCGGGGAGGAGGCTGCTACATGGTTCTGGTGCCTTAGGCCAGGGCAGGGGGAGAGAAGAGGACAGATACCCAGCATGTACACGATTCTCCCTCACTAGACTGTAAGGGGTCCCAAGGGCCCGACTGAGTGTTTGGCACAGAGTAGGCACTCCTTGGGTATTTGTTCCCTGGGTGTAGACAGAAGAGGCAGTGGTGAAGCTCAGGGAGGGGAGTCGGCCCCTCCCGAGTCACCAGCGGAGCCCAGAGCAGAAGCGGGGCTTGACCCACATCTTGGTCCACCTGGGTCTCCCGAGCAGCTCCCAAGTTGGGGCCTGTCCCCTCCCTGTCCTCTCCTGACCGATGTCTTCCCTTCTCCCAGAGTATGTCGGGAAAGCCCAAGTCCTCCGAATGCACTCAAGCCAGAACGCAGCAGAGAAACCGTCAAAGCCAGAGGCAGAATGCTGAGGAGTCCGAGCCACTTTGCCCGCCCTGCTCAAGAGCAGCCCCCAGGTTCAAGGTTGTTCCCAGCCCTACGGCCTCAACAGCAACCCCGACTTTCCTATCACAGGGAGCCTATTAAAAACCTGCCTTCCCGGGGCGCCTGGGTGGCGCAGTCGGTCGAGCATCCGACTTCAGCCAGGTCACGATCTCGCGGTCCGGGAGTTCGAGCCCCGCATCAGGCTCTGGGCTGATGGCTCAGAGCCTGGAGCCTGCTTCCGATTCTGTGTCTCCCTCTCTCTCTGCCCCTCCCCCGTTCATGCTCTGTCTCTCTCTGTCCCAAAAATAAATAAACGTTGAAAAAAAAATTTTTTTTTAATAAATAAATAAATAAAAATAAAAACCTGCCTTCCCTTTAAGAGGACAATTCCATGCCTACTCTCGGTAGTAGGTCTGTGCCCCACTCCCTTGAAGAACGCCCAAGTGGAATCACTCACGCGGGGCTCAGCTGGTTCTGTGTTCCTGAGAGCTGAAAGGCAGCCTGAGAACGAGGCTCTGTCCTTCCCGAGCCAACACACACAGGACTCTGGGTAGGTCAGAGCGGAGGTCAAGAACCCACAGCCCTCCATAGAGTAATACCAATACCTCCATCAGTATCAACTGTTAAGTTCTACCAGGCTCTGTGGGGGCGGGCTCTAGACAATAGATCGTGGTGAGCACTGTGTGAGCCGTTCTACATAGTTCACGTGAGGTGCCATATTTGCTTCTCCCAGGAGCTCTCCTAATATCATCGCTCCCATTTGCTAGATGAATAAATCAGGGCTCAAACCATCTGTCCAAATCCACACTGTAAGTGGCGGATCCAGGACCCAAATCCAGCACGTCTGGCTCGGGAACCCCTGCTCTTCCCCACTGTGCTCTACTGCCTTGCGGACAGCAACCCTCACCAAAGGTTGTGGCTGCAATGCAAAAAGCGTGAGCGTTAACAAAAACGGTGGTCGGCAAGATCAAGGAGGGGACGTGGCGGAAATGTGACCCAGCTGGGGTGTCGCTCCCCTTTACGATCTAGAGAAGATGGCCTTTGACCCTCTGGGGAGTCCAGCGTGAGCCTTGGGATTTCTGCAGATTCCCTGGAAAGCCGGGGCGCGGAGATATGGGAGGCGCTGAGGATCTACAATGTCATGGTCGCCTGGGGCTCTGAGCTCCTGCTTCCACTGAATTAGGTCCGTGGATCACCGCTCCGTCCTCTTCTGGCCACTCGATTCGGCCGCACCTCACGGCACCTCAGACCGATTGCGTCCCTCCGGGTTTCCTCAAATACCCCGTTCATGCAAACCTTGTGTGTGCCGCAGGCTTCGGTCCAGATCAGGGGCTGGACGGGGATTGGCTGTGGATCCAGCCAACAGCTTCACGTCCGTATGAGATCGCCTTGTTTTTTGAAAGTCCCCTCTCCCACGGAGGACGTTCCCCTGGCGGCAGCCTCTTTTATAACCACGCCCCTTGCCATCTTGCTGGCTTCGTCCTCCCCCGTCTGCACCCCTACCACGCGTTCGCCTCCAGAAAGCCCACGTTCATTGTACTTTCCTTGTTCTCCATTTTTTTAATCTTGCTAAAATCCACATAGCATAGACCTTGCCACTCTACCCACATTTCAGGTGTATACAGTTCGGTGATTAAGTACACTCACGTTGTTGTACAAACATCACCAACCATCTGTCCACAGAACTCTCTTCACCTTGCAAAACTGAATGTCTGTGCCCATCAAACACTTGTTCCGCGTTCCCCCTCCTTGCCCCCAGCACATCCCTAGGAACTGGACTGCTCTAGGTACCTCGTATCAGTGGAGTCACAAAGTATTTATCCTTTGGTGACTGGCTTATTTCACTTAGTACGATGTCCTCCAGGCTCATCCATGTTGTAGCCTGTGTAGGAATTTTCTCTCATTTAATAGTTTTGCCGATGCAATAGTTCAGCTTCCCCCCCCCCCCCCCCAGTCCCTGTTCCCTGGCTCTCCAGCCCCTCCCTTGGGCTGTCCAGCCCCGTCAACGGGCTGACCTAGAGGTCTGTTCCTGGACTAGGGCCCTTGCCCCTTGGCAATTGTAGTTATGACAATCTCTCCCTCCTCCCTTAGGAATAATTTTTAGCCATCCACACAGTAGAACATCCTAGAAGGTATCTGCTTCCAGAATAAATCATACTTGTTGGCACAGAACACCTGGCTCTTTCGGTAAGCCTCCTACCTCCCCTTTAACTGTTCGGGAAGTATTACCACGAGGTTAATATTTGCCACTGCAGATTCTCGTCATTGTCTTATTCCAGAGAGTATCCCTCTCTCCAGAGCTGCTGAGCTGGTCCTTGAGATTTATTTATCTATTTTGCTTTTGCAACTCCCTGCAAAATGCCTGTGTCACCGCCTGGCCTTTGCACCCTTTATCACTGCGCTTAAAAGACAGGGTGTTCTGGGCCTGGCTTCTCACACATATATTTGGAGGGTAGATGGCCAACAGATCTTTCTCCACAGCCCTGCGGTCTATCGGGAGAAAGAAAGATAAAGGGTCTGAGCTGAACCACGCACACAGAAAAACACCGTGGAAGAGAACACTAATCTCTACCAATGGGAAACTGTTACCGTGCAGGGACGTGGAGGACTGAGCTGGGCTCGTACGGATACCCTGACCCCATTGGGCGCTCAAGACAACCTGTAAGGCAGGCGTCGTGACCACATTTTACAGGTGGAAAATCCGAGGCTTAGAGCATAAGCAACAGTAACACGTCAGAGTTCACACAGCCAATAAATAGTGGATCAGACGCAGGGCTGCAGGGCTCCTTAGTCAGTGCTCTTTCCTTCTACGCCGCCTTCTTGCGGGCCACCCGCCCTTGGCCTGCTGCTTTCTCACTCCCAGCCACTTCGCCCACCTTCCTCCTGCTTCCTCTTCCCCCATCTCTCAGATACGGAGCAAGTCGGGCTTTGTTGTCACCCCCTGACTCTCTTCAAAGTCCCTCAACCGGCCCACGTCCTATCTCCAAGTTTTAAGGGAATCACCGCTAACCCCCACGGGGACAGGCAGCAGAGGGCACTCGGAGGTTCCAGACACATCACAAAGCACTGGTCAGAGTTGTCGCTGGCCTTCTTGGAAATGCCAGTGGCATCCAGCCTGCCTTCCTCATCACCTGTGCCCCCAGATCCTATGTGGTTTGGAGGCCGGGCTGGTTCCAGGGCTGTGGCTCCTAAGGGCTCTGCAGAGTCTCTATGCTTAGCAGCGCCCCCTGTCTGCGGTGACTCTGCACCCACTTGGACATCATGGTGCCAGGACACTGGCCACTTCTAGGTCACTCTTAGGTTTCCCCTGGCTCCAGACCCTGAAGTTTCTCCCTACCGTTTGCCTCTCTGCCTGAAGCATGAAGATAGACTGTCCTTTCCAACCTTCTCCCCTATGGCTCTGGGTCCTTCTTGGGATCCAGTCCCCTCAGCCACTGTGGTAGCCGCTGTTTGTGCCTGCCCAAGGTGTCCCCCACCCTCCTTCCAGGGTGGGACTGAAACTAGTTCCATCCAACCACAGCCCCCAATCCCTGGGCACAGGGACTGGTTCAGGGGCAGGATGAGCATGTGACCCAAGCTGGGCCAATCACAGACTGTCCTTGGATTTGTGGGGAGGAGGGGAATATTGGCTTTTGAGGGGATGCCATCACTGGAAAGCATCAGTCACACCTGAAGCCCCTGACCGTCCCCCATCGTTCCCCATTATATGAGTCCATAAAATTACTTCTTATAGTTGATTTCTATGCATTTTTAACGTAAAACTTACCACCTTACCCATCGTCAAGTGTATAGTCCAGTAATAACACGTGCATGTTGTGCGACCATCACCACATCTACCCCCAGAACTCTCTCCATCTTGCAGAACTGAAACTCTGCACCCGTTGAACACGAACTCCCCTTCCCATCCCCACAGCCCTGGGCAACCATCCTTCTACTTCCTGTCTCTGTAGATTTGACCCTTCCAGGTCCCTCGAGTAAGTGGAGCCATTCAGTAGCTGTCCTTTTTGTGACCGGTTGATTTCACTCAGCGTGGCGCCCTCAAGATTCATCCGTGTTGCAGCCCACATCAGAATTCCTTTCCTTTTTTAAGCTGAATAACATTCCGTCGAATGTGCGCATCACGTTTTGTTGCTCCATTCATCCATCGATGGACCTTTGGGTTGTGAACAGGGTTGCTAAGGAGATGAGTGTGCGAAAGTATTGATTTTTATGCCACATGATGAAAGGGATCCTGGATAATCTAAGGCCATGCAACTGGTAAGTGAAGCCTCCAGAATTAGAATCCAGGTTTGTCAGACTCCGGAGTCACTGACAAGAGCCCTGGGTTCCCAAACTTGAGCCCTTCTGATGCCCCCATCGCGAATGTGTTATGATGCTTCACTCTCTGTACTATTCCTAAGGTTTCTTTAAAGGTACTTTTCTTAGTTTTTTTACTTAAATATTGTTTTGATCTAAGCAATAATGCCCATGGCATCATGTTTTCGATGCGTTCTTTATAAAAGTTCCTCAAACACATGAAGATAAATAGCAGTGTGTCGACACTCCTCCTCCTTGTGCCACCTAAGTTCCTCATCGCACCCCCAGAGTTATGTCGCCCACACCTCGGGTGGCATTGACTAGAACATATTGCAGTTTAAAGATGAGACACTTGGGACTCTAGCTGAAGGACACGTGTGGGGGTCAGCTTCTCCCGGCCCAGTTTGCTGGCTCGACAACCGCCCCTCCCCCACCCCACTCCCCATAGAGGAGAATAGGCGGGGGACCCCTTCGCAGCAAAGGCAGCAGAGGTTGTATCCTCACTGGTAGCACCTTAGAATCCCATGGCTGGATACCCCTCAGAAGCTCTCTAACAACCTTCCCAGCCCATGGGTAACCTTCACTGGACCACCCATGACGTGGTGTCCGACTTCACCTTGGAGCTATAGTAACAGAGATGTCACTGCCTTTGCTGGCTTCTCAAACCTTAGTTCTGTCCCCAGCCACCGAGATCAAGTCTTTCCTTCTTCCTCTGGCTACCTAATTTTGTGCTTGTCAATACTCTCTTGTAAGTCTCAATCAGACCACACCTACCTCCCTTCTAATACTTATACCTTTTTTCTGGTCTGCTTCCACTAGCT